TTGATAAAAAAATTCCATGATTTAGTTGAAAAAGGTCCATGCTATGTTTGCACCTGCTGTGACCAATTGTGGTATCGAGAAAGTGTCTCTGAAGCATCGGCTGCTCATTGCTCGAATTCAGATTTAAAATTGAAAGTTTTTACAAATGTTCTCTCTGAGCAAAATAAAGAATGGCTTTGTCACACTTGCCTCAGTTATATAAAAAAAGAAAAGCTTCCACCACTTGCTAAGAATAATATGATGAAGTTCCCTGAAAAGCCACCATGCCTAAACCTTACCCAGCTAGAGGAGCGTCTAATCTCCCCAAGAATACCGTTTATGCAGTTACGTGAACTTCCCAGGGGTGGACAAGTCAGCATAAATGGTAATGTGGTTAATGTGCCAGCAAATATGACCTCAACAGTTTTAAATTTACCAAGGACTCTGTCAAATGATGCATGTATTCCTTTACAACTGAAGAGAAGGCTCTCTTATCAACATCATGTTCAACAGGAAATGATACGTCCCAACTCGGTCATGGATGCATTGAAATACCTTGTACAAAATAGCCCCCTATTCAAAGAAGAAGGCGTGACATTGGATGAAAATTGGAGGTTAGATCAGGATCAGGACCATTCAGTTCTTGCAACAAATTCATTTAACAAATCTGAAATTACAAATGCACCTGCACACTCTGACGAAATAACAGAAGATAAATGGGACGAGACAGGTATAGAGGAACAAGCAGTTGGTAATCTGGATACCATGATGCATCCTATTGATGTATCACACGACGAAAGCCAAGTTTTTGCTTTTGCTCCCTGTGAAGGAAATACTCCTATTAATATATTTATGGACAAATATTCGGAAGAATTATCCTTTCCAACAATTTTCTGTGGATATAAAAGACCATCATCAGAAGAACGTTTAGTTCGAGTGTATCTCTCAGAAGTTTACAAATCTGAACTTCGACAAAAAGACAGGAGAGTTGCTTCGCATATTCCAAATTTGTTCTTCAAGGTAAAAAAACTCCAGGCACAACATGTTTCAGAAAAATCAAATTTGTGTATGCGTAAAGCCATTAATACCAAAGGCATCACTGCTGGTTACTTAAAGGATGCCGAAAATATTCAAAAGATATGTCATTTGGATGAAGGCTATAGAGTCTTTAAAGACCTAAGAGGATCCCCGCCCTACTGGGAGAAAACCAAGAAGGATCTTTTCGCCATGATACGATGCTTGGGTATACCAACATGGTTTGCCTCATTTTCTTCGGCTGAAACAAGGTGGACACATCTTTTGAAAATTCTATCACAAACTGTTGATGGCAAAACTTTGTCAGACAAGGATATAGAAGAAATGGATTGGTTCCAGAAATGTAACCTCATTCGTAAAGATCCAGTAACATGTGCTAGACATTTTCAGCACCAAGTTCAAAAGTTTATTGGTCAAGTTTTGTTGTCAGCAGCATCACCTGTAGGGAAAGTAACAGACTATTTCTACAAAGTAGAGTTCCAGATGCGTGGCTCCCCACATATTCATATGTTGATGTGGGTAGAAGATTCTCCAAAGCTAAAGGAAAACAATGAGAATGAGGCAGAAATCATCAGCTATGTAGATTCCTACATCACTGTAACCAAAGATCCAGAAATAGGACAACTGGTGAAACTACAGGAACATTCTCATAGTAGAACATGTAGGAAAAAGAATCAGGAAATATGTCGATTTGCCTTTCCATTGCCACCATTACCCGAGACACTCATTCTTACTCCCCTGGATACGAACATTGACAGTAGCACTAAACAAAAACATTGTGAAAATTGGAAAAAAATTGGAAAAATGATCAACTCGCTCAAAAAAGGAGAATCTATGGAATTTGAGGCCTTTCTACTTAAACTTGATTTGTCATATGAAGATTACATTTTGGCGATTCGGACATCTATAACAACAAATAAAATTTTCCTGAAAAGGAAAATTGATGAAGCAAGAATTAACAGCTACAACAAAACTCTTCTTCAATGTTGGAGAGCCAACATGGACCTTCAATTTGTGATAGATCCTTATGCATGTGCAATGTACATAGTGACATATATTGCCAAAAGCCAGAGAGGGATCAGTAACCTATTGTATGCTGCAACAAAAGAAGCCAGAGAAGGCAATGAAACTTTGAGGAAGCAGGTTAGAGCTATAGGGCATCAATTTTTAACACATGTGGAACTTTCGGCACAAGAAGCTGTTTATTACATCCTCCAAATGCCATTGAAGAAATCTTCACGCCAAGTTATCTTCATAAATACATCACCAAAAGATGAGAGATGTGTACTTTTGAAAAGCTTCAGTTGTATTCAACAACTATCAAATGACTCTCAAGAAATTCAAGCTATTAGTATTCACCAAAGATATGCTGCAAGGCCGAAATCAATGGAACACATTTGTCTAGCAGACTTTGTATGCAAGTATAAAGTATGCTACACACAAAAAGCAAGACACAAAGATGAAGACTCTGAAGATAGTGACATTGATGCGGAAGATGAAGAAAGCACTACATTTAAATGCCTCGGAGCAACTATCAAGAAGCGCAAAATTTCTGCATGCATCAGATATGTCAGGTTCCAAGAAATTGATGATAAAGAGAACTACTTTCGTGAAATCATTTTGCTGTTTTATCCTTGGAGAGACGAGTCACAATTGATTGGCAACAGTGAAACATTCACGGAACAGTATAGAGTTTTGTCAAAAGAATTTGATATAAAATCAAAAATGGATGAGTACAACCATAAATATCCTCTTCTGGATCAAGCTATTTTAGATGCCAAAAATACAACGGAGGAAATTTTGGAGGAGCAGTGGAATTCTTACGCTCCCACACGATCCGAGGATAAAGAAGATGAAGATATTGGTGTTGGAGCAGATGTCTATCCAGAACTTTGTCTTCCAGATTTGGATGTACCTGATGAGGAATCAGGAAAAGTAGAAATAAACACATGTGATAGTTTGATCAAATATATGAAAACTGACGAATATCTACATCTAATCAGATCATTAAATGAGCAACAAGAAGAATTTTTCCTGCACATTCTTCATCATTTCAAGACATCTACAGAACCAATATACCAGTTTCTTACTGGTGGAGCTGGAGTTGGGAAATCAGTATTGGTTCATGCAATATATCAAGCTTTGACTAGATACTTCAATAGTACTCCAGGTACAAATCCAGATGAACCCAAGGTACTGTTGGCAGCTCCAACTGGTAAAGCAGCTCACTTGATTAAAGGAAATACATTACATTCACTTTTTAAGATTCCGGCAAATCAAGGATACCAATACAAACCATTAGTAAGTGAAAAGCTGAATACACTTAGATGTAAATTCAAACATGTCCAGTTACTTATCATTGACGAGATTTCCATGGTAGGAAATAAGATGTTCTCATTTATTCACCAGAGGTTACAGCAGATAAAAGGTTCAAACAAATTGTTTGGAGGTATCTCAATACTAGCTGTTGGAGATCTTTTCCAACTAAAACCTGTTTTTGATGGTTGGGTTTTTGAAAATTTATCACAAGAGTATGGACCGTTGGCTCTCAATCTATGGAGGGAAAACTTCAGAATGTATGAGCTTAATGTAATAATGAGACAAAAAAATTCAAGGGAATTCGCAGAATTGTTAAATAGGCTCAGAGAATGTAAACACACAACTTCAGATATTCAATTCCTCTTACAAAGGAAAATTCCTACAGATCTGATGCATCCAGAGTACCCTATCTTAACGCCTCACATATATATGAGAAATGCAGATGTAGACAGCCACAACCAAGTAGTATGTGAAGTACATGGCTCGGGATATTTGAAACTACAAGCAAAGGATGTTGTTCTAGGAGATGTCTCACTATCAGTGAAAACAAGAATTTTAAATTCTATACCACATGACTCTTCAAAGACTATGGGCCTTCTAAAAGAACTTAAGACAGCCATTGGTTTGCGAAATGAACTATCCTGCAACATTGAAGTGGAAGATGGTATGACAAATGGGGCAGCATTTGTACTTAAAAGAACTGGACCCATAGACAAAAAAGGAAATTTACATTATGTTTGGGCAAGCTTTGAAGATGATTGTGTTGGAAAGCTCACACGAAACAGAAACAGAAACCTTTATACAGAAAATATAGATAAGATGTGGACAGCAATTTTCAAAGTGAAACGGCAGTTTCCAGTGGGACGTTACAAATCTGCATGTGTGTTAAGACATCAATTTCCTATCAGATGTGCAGCAGCAAAAACCACACATAGGTGTCAGGGAGACACAATGAAAACTGCTGTTGTTGATTTTATGGGAAAGACCTTTCCACACTCCCATTATGTAGCCTTAAGTAGGGTAACTTCACCAGAACAATTGTTCATCAGAAATCTAAATGAGAGTAGAATTAGAGTGGATGATAGAGTACAGCATGAAATGGAAAGACTAAGACAAGATATAGAATCTCCAATATTTACCAGTAACCTTCAGTTATCAAATTCAGTAATCATTCTGTTCCAGAATGTTAGGTCCTTGCACATGCATATCAAAGATATTCAAAATAGCTTCATTTATAAACTTTCAAACTTAATGCTGTTTGTGGAAACAAAGCTGAAAGCAGCTAACAAAAATGAACAGTTGTTGATTCCTGGTTACCATTTACACAGATTTGACTTTCCTTCTGGTGCTAGAGCAACATATGGAATTGTTGTGTACTCCAAAGAAACAATTCCTGATTTTAATTTCACATACAACAGTTTCCATACATCACCTGGAGTTATTGAAATGGTCAGCATTCGTCTAGGAAATATTTTACCATCATTATGTGAAAATATATCAATTCATGGTATCTATATTTCACCTAAAGTTAAAAAAGAGGCAGTTAAAACCTACATAGAGCAGGAAATCAAACAAACAAATCATGGAGAAGCTATTTTCATTGGAGACTTCAATGAAGATTTGCTTAAGAAACCTGCGGACAACTATATTGGTCAAACTCTCTGCTGCAAACAGCTGGTTACTACTGCGACGACAGACAACCAAACATTGATTGACCATATATATGTAACTGATTCCTTACAAGATTTATCATCTGCTTATGTTTTGGAGTCGTATTTCTCAGATCATAAACCACTGCTGCTACAGCTGAGAAAGAACTTTTAATGAATTTCCATTGTTATATTTGAACATTTTGAACAATTATAATTGTAATTTAATATGTAGTTTGCCTGAATATTGTGACTGTTGTCTGTTGATAAAGATTTTTATTACTCCAATTCAAAGATGTCCATATTGTAATATGTGTAAAAAAAATGTTTATTCTATATTTGAGAATGTTTGTCAAAATGAAGCAAAAGATGAGTTATTGAAACATTTTATTCATCTGCATTATTGACTGTGGTATTTACAACAACATTGACAGCCAAGGAAGTGACTAACAGTCAATTGTAAGATTTGGAAAGCAAAACCAAAAGTAAATGCATCTGCCATGAATTACTATGAGGAATTTGGATGACTGAACTCTTACCACATATCCTCCAGACTAGGTATTTACATTTATATGGTATAGGTATATACATATATTTATATATACTCTACCCAACTTCTGCTAAGCACCATAAGTTAATTTTTATATTATCACAAGTATAAAACAAATTTCAATTTTTTTAAAATTCTGATTCAGCAATGGTTTCAGATACTATCACATGAATCTGTGTTGACTAATCTGTTAAAACTTGTCTAGATAGCATGGAAATCATGCATCCCAATATTTTCATATTTTTAAAGGGGGTGTACAATCACATCTATTGTTGTACAGTGGCATTACCGGCTTATTGTCATTCAGTGCCTTACATTTTTCGATATGGCTAATGTTAACATTAGGCAGCATTTGAGAGAAGCAGATTTATGGAGGTCTGTTGGGATGGTGCAGCAGTCAGCCATCTTCCGGGAGGTTTGTGCTGCGCTTGGTGTACACCACACTGTCATCATCAGAGCCTGGGAGAGATCCCTGCTACATGGCACACCCGCCAGGAGTCCTGCTGGAGGTCAGCAATGGGTCACAACACAAGTTTAAGATAGGATTTTGTTGTGCAAGGTTTTTAACAGCAATTCTCTCCGAAATGACGTTGCTAATGCTGCGGGGGTCCGTGTTTCCATGCAGACGGCAAATAGACGGCTGCATGAAGGTAATTTGTGGCTGAGAAAACCTTGCATATGAATTCAAAGATGAGACCATTTGTAACAAATAAGTACATGGAACAGCAACTACTGATTCCTACACCTACAATGACACTACTAGCAACACGTTGAAAAAAGTATGGAGAAAGGATGTTTGTTCTTAAGCTTACTAGGTAAATTTTTCACTCATTATTATTACTCTTTTTTTCATTACTATAGAACAATGATAAATGGTTTCACTTAATGATTTAATAATTACTATTTATTTTGAATTTCAAATGGCTATGGCATCTTTTGGCAAAATTACTTGTAATAGTAGCATATAGTTGTCATGTATAAATGAAGGGTAAATTTGCCATAAGATGAAAGAGTTTGTCACACCTCTTGCCTCCAGAGTGACATACTGTGAAATCATAAATATTTGTGGTGAAATAATTTTGGTGGTCAGTTAACAAATTTTAATCTCAACAAACAAGTAAAACTTCCATATATCAAATAGATAAAATCCATGAATTCATTCTTATTCTATTCAAAACTTCTAATTTGAACAAAACTACAAAATTAATACCCACAAAATACAATGATTTCACAGTACACAAGGGTTGTTAAATGTGGTGTAACTTTTGTGAAGTGTTGTTTTTTTTATCAAAATCATTATAAAAGTTGATTTTCTATTTTCAGATCATAAAAGATGAACAATAAACATATTGAAACTATTCGGGGGCTTGAACTAAATCTATTGGGAATAAACTACAAGCTAAAAAATAATGCAACCAAGGAAAAAATTGAGAAGGAAGTAATTCCAGACATCGAAAGGGTTGCTAGGGTGGCCAAAAGTACGGCAAACACAATTGAAACACAAAATGGACAAACAACACAAGAACTCCAAACTTTAAGAAAAGAAATGGGAAAGATGAAAACTAAAAATGACAATTTGTGTAATAAGTTAGGCCTTTCTGAGAGGAAAACAGCAAAACTGGAATTCGAGAATACTAAATTGCAAATTGAAAAAGATCAAGTTATAAGTGATAACAACCGCCTTAGAAAAATAAATCAGAACCTGATGGAGAAATTGAAAGAAGCTTTTAAGGAAGAAATTGAAGCCTCCCAGGAATTATTCGCTGATTCCGATTCTGATTTCAAGGAAGAAGATAATGGAAACCCAAAGAAACCTTGTTCTTCCACTGATACCAAAAAATGTGACGACAACAACAACAACAATTCTGTCTAACAATAGCCATGTCACTATAAAAAAATGACCAATGTCCTGTATAACTGTAATGAAATTGATAAACATACAAACTTTTGTAGACAAATTTTTGCATTAACATAAATGAGTGAATTATCATCATCACCTGTGATCACCCTTCGTATGGTATATTATATATGGATTCTTTTTTTTGCTTTAACACTGATGTAGTAAACCATTTTACATCTTCATTGTTACATTCAGTTGCCCCTGTCTGATTTATTCTTCCTGCATTGATCAATCATTTACTTTGAAACATATATGTGTTGTTAAATGTAAATCATGTGTAAAATATCTGATCTTTCTTACAATATCATACAATTATTAATATGATGATATGTATAATGTGAAATTTAATAAATTTCAGATGCTCTTTGACTGATTGATGTAAGTCAATTGTTTTACGGGTGATGGATTTGAATTTGTCACTAATTTGTTTACTTCTAGTTTTTTTCTAGATGCACATCAACAGATGCAGACTTACTTCAAATATTTAACTCATTGTTAGCATGTTCGTATTGATTGTTAAAAAATCCACAGTTTCAAACTCCTTTTGCATTTCCCAGGTGTTGGATAGTTTACACCCATTAAATTCTAAACATAACCCCATTTGTCCATGAATACTAATTATTTTTATTTACATTTTCATTACAGGTGTTTTTTCCTACAAAGCCCTGTTATATTACTCTTTTATGTATGCTTGTACATGTTTTTCTAACAATTTTACACTTTAAGTTTTAATTGTTTTATTATAATGTCTTTTGATCATTCAACATGCCTTTTAAACTTACACATTTTACTATTTACAAGTTCCTGTTATTAACTACTCTAACAATAATCTTCCAGGATAAATATTTTTTATAGTGTCAAATACTGAGAATAGTCGAGCACGCTGTCTACTGACAGCTCTTGTTTATTTGTACAAAAATTTGTACAAAAATTCATGTCAGGACACTTACGGAGTGTGGTTTATCTTGAGAGTTTGTTTCATACTACGAACCCCCTCACGCGATGGGTTTTATAGCCGACAGCATTATGACTGGGGAAGTACAAAATAATTTAGGTGAAAATATTGTGCGATAGCAAATAATGAACATTGAAATATGGTTTATAATATTGCAATATCATGCGATAGCAAATAAGGAACATTGAAATTTGGTTTATGATATTGCAATATCATGCGATAGCAAATAATGGACATTGAAATTTGGTTTATGATATTGCAATATCATGCGATAGCAAATAATGGACATTGGAATATGGTTTATAATAAAGTTAATATTATGTTTATGTTTCATTGCCAATCTGGGATAATAAAAAACCCGACAATGCAGGTAACGGATGTGAATTTAGATTAACGAAGAAAATTTTCAGTATGAACGAGTACATTTCCCTCAGTTTCAAATCTTAAGTTTTGTGGTGGTCACTGACCTAACCGAAATATAGTGGTGTTTGACCTTGGTGAGATGGGACGTCCCAGTATTTCCTCAGTCCACATCCTGGTTTCCTGTTGAATGGACAAGCAATAAACTGCTCAGATTAATCTATCTTATTACACCCGTGTGTCAAAGTATCCAAAGAACTTGAACATCTATGTAAGTTTGTTATACCATTATAGATTTACTATAATGGTGGCAGCGGTGATTCAATTCTAGCTGCGGCCTGTATTTTTAAAACGCTACCTGTCTTCGGACCCACTTAGGTTTTTGTAAAATTGTGGTTTCTAATTAGGAGATTTGATACCGGTATCATATTTTTTTTCTTCTATTGTTGTCCCCAAAACCTAGCAATTTTTGAAAGGAATTTGCAGAGGGATTTTTAAGAGTGATATTTTCATTATATTGCTTATTTTCAGGCAGAAAGAGGTGCGATATTTTTTATATTGCATAATTCAAAGAGCGATATTCTTTTAATATTGCTTATTATAGTTACTGTAAGGCACAATATTGTAGTATTGTGCAGGTGTGTGGAATAAAATAAATCTTATTTCGGAAATTGGTTTACAGTAACGGTAAGTGGTACTTTCCACAACCTGTAATTGCCCGATATTTTTAATTATTTGTAATAAAATTATTGTAATAAGTAATTATTAATATGGCAATGGCGATGGATAGGTCAGACACAAAAGGCCCCACACCAATAAATCTAAGGTTGCGATTAATTTTGCTTCTGAGGACGAGTTGGTTAAAATTCCGGGGGTTAGTAAGAAGGTTGCTGTTATTCTCCTATCTATAAGGGGGGCTGGCGGTGATATCACAGCCGACATATTGTCAGCAATATGTCTTAAAAAGTTTACGGGTGATGAATTAGATATGATAGATTTTTCACCAAATGAGGTTTGGGAAGAATCCCCTAGGAAAGAGGAGGCTTTAGAGCAATATACTGAAGCTTCTAAAGGCGAAGGGTCCTTGGATAAGTCATTTAGGTCCTTGATTCAGTCATTTTTAGACTTTTCGGAACCAAAGCCTGGAGCAGTAAAGCCTGATGTGGCCAGAGGGTCACTGGGGTGAAAATCACTTCAGTATTTGGGCGTAGAGAAGGTAGACCTGTGATGGGTGGGGATAGCATGGGGTATAATGGGCATATGTTTACCACACCTAAGATTCCCCAGGCTATTCCTGCTGATTTTGGGTCTATGCGGTCTCTATGGAAAGAACAGGGGACCACCTCATTGGGGGTAATGAGTTTGAGCCATTATCTCATGAGGAATGGGAACCAGTTTATCCTGTATCAG